ATATTTACGGACAAGCTTTAGCAGATCGTCCCCCAGACACTCTCTTTAAAAACATAAAAGACATCTATAGACGCCTTTGGCAGTCAATGAGTTAAGCTGGAAACCTGAGAATAAACCAGAGTAGATCAAGAGTATAAAATTGACATTTATTGAGTCACAGTTAACTCGTTGGCTGCCAAAGACGTCTATAGACGTCTTTAAATGTTTTTCAACGAGTGTCTGGGGGACGATCTGCTAAAGCATGATTAAAGCATGATTTAAAAAAAAAAGAAATTTAAAATTGATTTGAGTTTAGATGTCTGTGCTTCTGAACATGTCAGAATAGCTTGAAATGCTAATAAATCTAACGTTTTGAACTGTCCTAGATGACCGAGGACTCGTTCATCTACGTCTTCACCCTGCTCTACACGCCCAGTCCTCTGGGGGACGGATCCATCGTTCGAGGCCGAGACATCTCCGTTAGCATCCAGTGTCACTACCAGAGGTCGGTTATCCTCTTTACTTATCCCCTTTCATCGCCTCACTGGTATTTAACTAAGAATGCAATCCAACTAATGATGTTCCAAAATGTTGGGAAACTTCTTCTATGCAAGTTTAAAGTGTTTGTTGTTTTCCTGTTTCTCTTTTTCTGTGTCTAACTACACCCACAGTTTTCAGCCCATTTCAACTAATGAGGTATCAAAATGTTCAACACTATGCAGCTGTGACTTTTGGTGTTCAAATCTTCAAAGTTATTTAACTTTCAGCTTTTATTTTCTCATTGAAATTAATAGTCAAACATGGCTCCATCTATTGGTCTCTGGCATTTCAGCCCCTTCAGATTCTTGCAATGTAGTCCTATGCAGCCTCTTTGACTGAGATATAACTCAATGATAGAGGGTTTGACTCCAGTTTGATAAGTCACTAGTTCAAATCCCATTAAACTCTTCAGTTATTTTCCCTTTGTTCTCCCACTCTTCAGTTCATTCTTTTTCAGCTTTTCTTTGGCTTTCTTCATTCAGCTTTGGCATTCTCACCTCTGTTCCACAGGAGTGCCTACAGGATTTGAACACTTTTGGTGTTCAAATCTTTTCAACTTTTTAAGATATTTAACCTTTCATGCCTTTATTCCCCTCATTGAAATTAATGACGCAAAAAACATGGCTCCCTCTGCTTATCACTGGCATTTCAGCTCCTTCAAATTTTTCATATGAATTCCTGTTCAGCCCTTCAGCCTGTGGTATACCCTTTGACTGCAGATTCAGAGGTTGCCGGTGCAAATATTTTTGTACCTCATCTATAATTTAATGGCCTTTGACTCTTCTTTGAATCCTTTTAACTTCTTCCACTCTTTAGTTTTCAGCTCTTTAAAATTATTCCTCCTTTCAGCCTTTTCCCTTCAACTGTCTTTTTCCAGCTTTTCTTTGACTTCTTCTTTCTCCTCCATTCACCACTTGGCATTCTCACAACTGTTCTTCTTCTTGCTATGTAGTCCTATGTGGTATTTCAGCCTGTGGTATAGCTCAATGGTAATAATGGCTGATCCAGAGGTCGCTGGTTCAAATCCCACTCAAATCTTCTTGTACCTGGTGATTTTCAGCTTTTCAAATGATTCCTCTGTTCAGCCTTTTTTCTTAAACTCTTCTGCTTCCTCCATTCAACACTTGGCATTCTCACAGCTATTCTTGCTATGTTGTTGCTATGTAGTCCTATGTGGCCTTTCAGCCTGTGGTACAGCTCAGTAGTAGTGTTTAATGGCTGATCCAGAGGTTGCTGGTTCAAATCCCACTCAAATCTTCTTGTACCTGGTGATTTATAGCTTTTCAAATGATTCCTCCATTCAGCCGTTTTTCTTCAACTCTTCTGCTTCCTCAGCTTTTGGCATTCTCACAACTGTTCTTGCTATGTTGTTGGTATGTAGTCCTATTTTGCCTTCAGCCTGTGGTATAGCTCAGTGGTAATAACGGCTGA